TCGTCTGCCTCTTACATGCCCCACAATAGGGATCAAGCCCACATTCGGGCATGTGCCCTGCCTGGAATCGAACCGTGACCTCCTGGTTCATAGGTCGATGCTCAACCACTGAGCCATGCCGGCCGGGCCATATCCTTTTTGTTTGTTTGTTTTGTTTTTGTTAATGCTTACCTGAGGATATTTTTCATTGATTTTTTTAGAGAGAGTGGAAGGAAGAGGGAGAAACAGAGAGAGAGAGAACCATTGATGTGAGAGAGGCACATCGATTGGTTGCCTTCCGTACATGCCCTGACCAGCGCTGGGGATGGAGCCTGCAACCAAGGCACATGCCCTTGATTGGAATGGAACCTGAGACCCTTCAGTCCGTAGGCTGATGTCCTATCCACTGAGCCAAACTGGCCAGGCCCACTCATATCCTCTTTGCTCCCAGCTCCACTCCCAAATGCCAATGGCAGGGACTCTGCCTGGTGCCTTCTCTGGCCACCAGTGCCCACTGCGTCCACATGGCAGATCAGAAGTGCCAGAGAATCAAATCTCCCAGAAATAGTATTTGACCAATGACTGAGGGAATTTGGAGGATAAATACCCCAGCTCCCTCGCCCCTAAGTGGTGATAATGGAGGGGGTGGGCAGACAGAAAACATGAAAACCTGTAAGTAAACAAGCCTTCAAATTTCGAGGAGTGCTCTGTTGCAAATAAATAGGGTGATGTGATGGAGAAGGTGGTGGAGGGAGTACTTTTGGTCTGGAGATGGGAGCGAGACACTTGAAGAACTGATGGGAGAAGCCAGGCCTGGGAAATGTGGGGCAGAGCATACAGCACAGCACGTGCAAAGGCCCTGAGGTTGCTTGAAGCTGGGCTGGTGATGGGCAGAAGGAGGAACTGAGATTGCAGTCAGGATTCCAACCTTGGTGCCTTGGGAAATCACTGGAAGGTTTTAAGCTCGGAGCTACAGGATCTTACCTTCATTCTAAAAGCCTCTGGCCGCTGTTGGCCACCTCTGCCCCTGCCCCTGCCCCTGCCGCCTGGTTGGAGGTGCCAACTTTCTGTCACATACCTCCTTGGGGGCAGCCACTGGATGGGAAGAAGGTTCCTGATGATCACTGGGACCAGGGGCGGGGCTGGCAGCTTCCTCAGCCAGTGCGTTGTAACAAAGGAAGAGATCCTCGTAATCCACGTTTGCTGGATCCTTCTGTGGACAGAGGGGACCTGCAGCTCAGCCCCAAGGAGGGGGACAGGAACGGGGCTGGGGTCCCCAGACCCTGGGGGTTGGAGCTCAGGAGCTGCTCCCACCCACAAACCTGTAATAAAGCAAGCTCCACGGAGCGCATTGTGGGCCTAGGGCCTAGGCCCTGCCCATAAGCCGTTATAAGGAGGTCTGCCCTGCCCACAGCAGCTTCTGAGGGCACAGGCCCGTCCACCGGGGCTTATGCTAGTCCTATAGATCAGCTCGGGCAGTGGTCAGCAAACTGTGGCTCGCGAGCCACATGCGGCTCTTTGGCCCCTTGAGTGTGGCCACAAAGTTTCAATCGCACTGTACATGCGTGCCCGCACGTGGTATTTTGTGGAAGAGCCACACTCACGGGGCCGCAGTTTGCCGACCACTGAGTTAGTGTTGTACCTCGCACACGCGAAACCTTGTAAAACATCAGCCTGAGGGGAAACGAGGACCGGGAGGAGTGGGGCCGTGGGGGGCCAGACGCAGAATCACAAGAGGCTGAAGGGGACTGGGGGGAGCAGAATGAGTCTGGAGGCCTTAGCCCCTGGGGAGACAACTACTGCCCACCCAGGTCCCAACCCTCACCTGCGGACAGGGCAGCTTCAGCAGCTCCCCATGTGGCCTCATCGGCTGCTGCTGGTGGAAGCTGATCAGGGCGTGCAGCGAGGCGTGGGCCTTCTCCTCCCCGGGGATTAGCACGCTCCCATCGTCCAGGAGCTTCACCATAAAGTGGCGGCAGCAGTTTTGGGCTCTGCGGAGACACTGCCAGGGTTGGGGACATCCTGCCCCTCATTTCATCCCCGCCCCCTTCTCCCCCCCAAGTCCTTGAACTGCCAGCATCAGGCCTGCAGC